AAGCACAAACTTATACGTCTAAAATATATATACATTATTATTTTTTTGGTTAGAATAATGTGGTCTTACATTCAGAATCAGTAGTGATCCAGTTGCCTTTCCTAGATCGACATCGGTAGACTGACGTAGGACCCAAGGAAACTACGATTGGTGGTGAAGAAACTACAGATATGTGATCAGAGGAAGACAGTGTTGTGCAACTCTCGCAACTCTCCCATCTCAAACTTATCTTTGCAGATTCACTACTCATTCTTTTTGATTCTTCATTTACCTCTCTCATCATCTTCAACTTTCTTCGGTTTCTTGACTCCATTATCTACAATAATATGTTTCCATCAATAAGAATGGTTACCAATGTAGTTGAGTTGTAATGATTTTGATGAACTGACCTTATTAGGGGTAAAGAATTTGACAGCTTTATCAGATTTGGCTGCTGCAGCCCATCTGATGAGCTCTTTCATCCTTGAGAGTGTGGCCTTAGCTTTGCTCTGCTCGCTTTTCGCCTTCTCTTTATTGCTTTCTTCATGTTTCTCCGGTTCCAAGACTTTGATAGCCTTTTTTCGATCGAACCTTTTCGATATCACTTCTTCTCCTCCTTGTCCTTGTGCATTTACCTTTGCCATTGCGCGACACAAATGTTCTCTTCTAAAACTGCTTAGGCTTTTTAGAGTTAGTGTGCTATTGAAACAAGCCTCAGCTACATCTCTTCTACACCATAACCATATTCCTCTGTAATTCCTCTGTTTTTCGTGTTTAGATCCTCTTGTTGATGACGTTGTTCTTTCGGAATCTGCGGAAGTTTGATCACATTAATTACATTGTTATGTCAGATTTAAGTTTTTTTTGTCTATCGATTAGCCAAAAAGCTTGTTTATACAAAATTCTAACTTAACCTACAAACTCTTTATAAATAAAAGGATAAGAAATATATTTAAACTCAGAAGGAACATATACGGAAAAGTTAAAAACTTTTCTAATAATAAAAAGGCAATATATCCGAGTCGATCTAGTAATCTTCAAGATTGTTCTGATAATGTTAATAATACGTTGTGATATAAAGATCAAGAAATGTTTTGTTACTTACTTGTTAGAGTGGTGGTGGGTTCATGATCATTGATTGAACAGAACTCTGATCTCCCTGGTGCCTTTCCTAACTTGAAGAGCCATTGAAAGATCTGGTCAAAACAAACAAGTTTAAACTCCTATAAATATGGTGCCTTGTGTTATGGTCACATGTGAATAATACCATAACACATGTGAGTTTGACTAACCTCCATGTTCTGGCTGAAGATGCTTTTCGATATAATATTAGTATATAGAGCTTGTATGATTATTCGCGCGTCTGGTGGGTCAAAACATAAATCTGTCCCAAATGTGTCAAACAGATTCTCCCTCACACATATGATTAGGGACTTTGGATCATAAGATGAAGACAAGAGATGACTTGGGAAAACAATAGAACGTATAAGTGTTTAAATAATTTGTTTGACTCAATCTAATTTAGGGTGTATACGGAGATACAACGTGACATTGTAGCAAAGTGGCTATTTATACATGCACATGCTTCTTTGGGTTGTTGGCTTTAGCTTATTAGATGTAGCATGCACTTAGTTTCAAAGCTTTGTTGCCATTACTCGTTGCCACACACTTGCAAGTCATGTCATTTAATTCCATGGGGTCCCTCAGTTTTTTATTCTTTGAAGTTAGAATTTTCTAGACCATTTAAAACATGAGTACATGTGTGTATGTAGGTTCACCCTTGCTCTACTAGTTGTTATTCAACTCAATTTACCTATTCCGAGATAGTGGTGAACAATGCGTAATTTGATTCAACGATATTTGATGATCATGTATGAACCCTAACTGTAAACTAATCCCAATACATATTCTAATCAGTGTCTTACAACAAATCAGTAACGCCCTGTCGGTAACAGCGGAGGCTGACGTATACATACGAATGATTTATACCGAACTGAACATTGTATGTGCGAAAGCTCTCGTTCACTAACTAGGCTACGAGAGAGAAATGAGGGATACAATCAAATTCGTCACAAAACATTAAAAAGAAGAAACTGACTTATTAAGAATTTGCAACCTTAGAAAATTTAACAAAAATAGTTAATAATCCTAATTTTTTTTTCCATCTGAAAAATATATATTGATATTAAAAATTTTAAGAGCTATAAAAGCCAATGGCTAACAACATAATGCTTCGGAACATTGAGACGCATGTTCCGTACGTAGTTCTTTTTAGAACAAGATAATCATGTGTTTAGAATTGAGCAATTATAAACAAAATGACCGATGTTGCCTGCTTAAACAAGATTTATTGGAATTCATATGTATATATATGTTGTGAAAGGTATATGAGAATTACATGCAGGAGTCACATGGACATTATAAGTAGCACCACATTATCTAAGAATACATAAAAATAATTGATAAGAACTCCAAAAGTAAATTATAACAAACATGTTTGTACAGAATAATCAAATGGATAAAAATTAGTTGACTAGTATCCAAGAGATAGAAAAATAAAGATGAGAGTTTTTTTAGTTGAGAAACTATAAGATCTCCAAGAGAGGGGGCAGGGTGTTTAAATGAGTTTTTTCCTAATAAACAAAAAAAAAAGGGTGAAAATCTATTTTTGAAAAATCCATTTTTTGGACACATGGCATTGGTTTATTTTTTTT